AGGCTAGCCCAAGGGCTTCCAGGGCTGTCCTCTCTGCCTCCCATCTCACCATAGGAACCCTGGAATCGCAGACTTCCACCACTATGTCCAGCTTTCACGTAGGTCCAGAGATGATCTCAGGTCATCAGGCAAGCTCCCTCACCCACAGAGCTGCGCCGCCAACCCCCGGCCCCAGCACTTTAGATCAGGAGCTTTAAGCCAGGCAAGGTGGTGCATGTCTATTATCCAGCACTCAGAACGAGGCAGGAAGATCTCTAGCACAAGGCCAGCCTGGGCTATAGAGAGACGCCCCAGACAGTAACAAAAAGAGCCTGAGGACATAGCTCAGTTTCTGGAGCACAGGCTTAGAATACAGGGAGTTCCGGGTCCTATCCCAGAATTTGGGAAGTAGAGGCAGTGAGTTCGAGGCCAGCCTGGGCCCCATGAGACCCTAACTCAAAAAAGACAATGAGCAAGCCAGAGCCACAGCTCAGTTAAGAATACTGCAGTAGGGGGTGGGGATTTAGCTCAGTGGGTACAGCACTTGCCCAGCAAGCACCAGGTGCTGGGTTCGGGCCTCAGCTCTGGGAGGAGGGGGCAGACAAGCCTGGGGTTCCTTCCCCAGTACCACAAAATAATAGTAAATAAATGAGAGTTTGACACACCCCAGCACTGGCCCTGGCTCACAGTGTCAATCCAGTTCTGGTGTCAGCTGGGGTCACCACACCCTAGACTATACTACTTTTGGACAAATTTGTAGCCAAGTGTCTCACCCCACCCTGTCCTGTCTGCACTCGGCCTGTAAAAGAAAAGCATTTAAACTCCTTGCAGAACTTGAGTAGCGCCCAGGAACTTCAGGGAGCCGTGAAGTGCCTTTGTTGTTTAAAAAAAACAATGTTAGTGGTGGTAGCTCCTACCTTTAATCCTAGCACTTGGGAAACTGAGGCAGACAAGCTCTATGAGGCCAGCCTGGTCTATGTATGATGTTTCAGGCCAGCCAGGGTTACATAATCAGACCCTGTCTCCAAAAACAAAAAATCAAATTTAAAAAAATGTAGCCTCTAAAGAGCCCTGATGTTCTTTGGCCCTGCACGAGGCCGTGCCGCAGCAGGAGGGAATGCCGTAGAAGAGCAGAGCCACAGAGCCACATGAGGTGGAGGCCCACAGGCCGCTGGATGAAGCGGAAGTTTCGCTGTTGATTCCACACTTGAAGCTTGGGTACTGCGCGTTCTTGGAGACTGAGCCCAAGAAGTTACCTGTGTCAGCGTGATGGCACACACCTTTGGTCTCAGCACTCAGGAGGCAGAAGCAGGACAGTCCGTGAATTTGAGGCCCGCCTGTTCTACATAGAGAGTTCTAGGCCAGCCAGGGCTACACAGTGAGACCCTGTCTGAAGAAACAAAACCAAGAGCTGGAGAGATGGGGCAGTGGTGAAGAGCACTGGCTGCTCTTCCAGAGGACCTGGGTTCAATTCCCAGCACCCACAGCTCTCACCGTCTGTAACTCCTGTCCCAAAGATTCTGATAGATGCTCTCTTTTATGCAGGCGCCAGGCACATACATGCTGCATAGACATGCATGCAGGTAAAACAGACACAGACGGCCCCCCCCTCCACACACACACAAAAAAAATCTTTAAAACCTAGAATAAATGATACATGGCGTAAAATGTACCCTCTTAAGTACGCATGTGGGAGCCTGAGTGGAGAAGGCAGTGCATCATACCTGTGCGGTGTCCACCTTGTACGGTCTTTAACTATCTGATTGGTAAAGCCATCCTGGTGGCCCCCTGTTAGCCATGGCAGCAGCAGGCAGCATGTTTATAATGATCTTTTTAGTTGACCATCTCCAGAACTTTCTTTTTTTTTTAAACTGAGACAGTGTCTTGGTACATAGACATGGCTGGCCTGGAGCTTGCTATGTAGACTAACCTGGCATCACTCACAGAGATCCTCCTGCCTCTGCAGCGCCACCACACCTGACTTCTTATGCTTTATCTTCTCCAAGGAAAATTTTGGCAGAGTGGGGTTTTGATCTGATTGGTTGATTGACTGTGGCACTGAGACTGGAATCCAGGGCGTCACATACCAGGCAAGTACTCTACCACTGAGCCACGCCCCAGCCCCTCACTGGGGGGTTCCAGGCGAGGCCTCTACCACTGAGCCACACCCCAGCCCTTCACTGGGAGATTCTAGGCAGGGGCTCTCACTGAGCCACACCCAACCCCTCACTGGGGGATTCTAGGCAAGCACTTTACTACTAAGCTGTGTCCCAGGTCCCAAATTTTAAAATAGTTTTTAAAATGCAATTTTTCAAAGGTGTGGTGGTGCATATCCCTAACCCCAGTGCTGAAGAAGCAGAGGCAGGAGGGTGACCACAGATTCAAGGACACCCTGAGCTACAGAAAGAGCTGGGCCAGCCTAAGCTATACAGTGAGCTGGTCTTGGAACATATAAATTAAGTTTTCGTTTTTAAATTTTTCTAATGGCCCCTGTTCCCTTTTCCTGCTGGCCAGACTCACAGCTGTTTAATGTTAGATTAAGACAGTCTGTCCCTCACATGGCTTAGGCAGGGAATGCAATGTGAGTGTTCTTTAAAGAGTCATGAGGAAGGGGATAGGGAGGAGCTCAGTGGGTGGAGCATTTGCTGGGCAGCTGTGAGGATCCGAGTTTGAATCTGTAGAACCTTGTAAAGCTGGGTAGAGTGGCTCATAACCCGAGCACACTTACGGGAAGATGAGGGCAGAGACTGGAGAGTCCGGAGCCCGCAGGCCGGCCAGCCTGGCACACAGGAGCGAGCAGCGGAAGACCTTGTCTCTATAAGACAGACGGTGAGGACCTCACCAGAGGCTCTCCTCCGACCTTCATGCATGCTGCTGTGGCAACTGCGTGTGCACACACACACTCACACACAGTCACACTTATACACAGCCACACACAAAATCACACACACTCATACACACACACACACACAGTCCCACTCATACACAGCCACACAAAATCACATACACTCATACACACACACACACACACACGCGCGCGCGCACGGGGTACTATCAGGCATAGTCTCACACAGTCACACAATCGCACAGTCACTCATACACACGTTCCCACAGATACAGTCTCACACACAGATCACACACACGGTCACACTCATACACAGCCCCCACACACACACACACGGTCATACACTCAGGCACAGTCTCACACACACACACACAATCGCACAGTCACTCATACACACTTCCCACAGATACAGTCTCACACACAGATCACACAGTCTCAATCACACACACAGATAAAGAATAGGAAACACCAGGCAGGGGTGGAGGTGCACGCCTGTGATCCCTGCCCTTGGATGATGGAGACAGAAGAATTGCTCCAAGTTCTAGGCCAGCAGCCTGGGCTATATAGCGGGGCCATGAATTAAAAGATATTTTGGGAGGGGGGGAAGAGATATTAATATACTTGCTTGGGTCCCACAGCTCCTAGATATGAAGTTGGAATCTCTGTCCTGACCACCATGCTCCTGGACACAGTTGGACTTTATTCTCTAGCAAACACTCAGGGTGACAGAGTGTGAGGGTAGAGTCTGAAGCCAGGACTGTGAGAGCTCCAGGATCTCTGTCACTGGCAGGCTGCTGGCTGCCAGCTCTAAGCTGTGGTGGTTTTGTGCAGCTCAGTGATTTTGGCAACGCACTGGACCTGGGTCTCCTCCCCCTGTCATCTGAGCCCTTCGTGGGGTGGGGGTCTTGATGTAAGGATTAGTTTGTCTGTATGGCTGTACGGGGCAGGCCATCATGACTGTCAGGAGACGTGGGGTGTGCTGTGGGAGTCGGAGGACTCCTTTGAGACAGACGGGTCACCCATGGGCCTGGAATTTACCAGAAGACTAGGCTGGAAGCGTCAAACCTGGCTCTAGGGTGACCCGTGACAAGCTTGCAGTGGGCACTGCTTATTTGTGTGGGTTCTGGGACCAGCTCAGGTCCCCATGCTTCCAGAGCAAGCATGTCCCCACCAGCCATCTCCCTTACCTTTGTGTGAGGTCTTGTTTCTTTGTTTTGTTTATTTGAGACAGGGTTTCTCTGTGTAGCCCTGGCTGTCCTGGAACTCACTCTGTAGACCAGGCTGGTCTCGAACTCACAGAGATCCATCTGGCTCTGCCTCCCAAGTGCTGGGATTAAAGGTGTGTGCCACCACCACCTGGCCAAAAGTTTTCAATTGATGTTTATTTAGTGGATAAAGGTGTGCCACTGAGTGTATGGGGGTCTAAGACAGCTTGGGGAGCGGGGCTCCCCTTCCACCATACAGGAGATGGCTCATTCCTTCTGTGGGTGTGTGTCTGCCTCTGTGTGCCTACGTGTGTGTGTGTGTGTGTGTGAGAGAGAGAGAGAGAGAGAGAGAGAGAGAGAGAGAGAGAGAGAGAATCTGTGTGTCTGCGGTTGTCTGTCTCTGTGTGTGTGTGTCTGTGTGTGTATGTGTATGTGTGTGTGTGAGAGAGAATCTGTGTGTCTGTCTGCGAGTGTCTGTCTGTGTCTGTGTGTGTGTGTGTGTCAACGTGTGTGTGTGTTTAAATATTTATTGTTATTTATGGGAAGAGATGCCCACAGAGGCCCGAAGAGCACAGTAGATCCCCAGGAGCTGGAATTCTAGGCTGTGTTGCACTCACTCACATGGGTGCTGGGCGCCAGAATTCAGGCCCTCTGAGTACATTCTCTTAACCACTGAGCCATCTCTCCGGTAAACTCCAACTCTTGTTTTTTGCTGTTTGTTTGGTTTTTGAGACTGGATCTCACTCTCTAACTCAGACTGTCCTCCAATTTGTAGTAATCCTCCTGCCTCCATTCCTGAGTGCTGGAATTGCAGGTATACAGCAACCCACTGGTTTGTGCATTTTAGAGACAAGGTCTCACTCTGTAGCCCAGGTTAATCCTCTTGCCTCTACCCTAGGACAACAGGCCTGAAGCACCACACTAGGCCTATTTCATTTTTGATCTCCCTCTGATGCCTCTTGTCATCCTAGGTGGTCCACAGTCTCCTGCAGAGTCCTCCTCCGCTGCACATCCTGCTGCTGTTTCTACGAAACAGTCTGAGGATCCTGACCAGGCAGCTGCCCCGGACACCACTGACAGGGAGCCCACCAGGCCAGCAGCGTCCCAGGAGACACAAGTGGCTGAGGGCGCAGGTGAGCAGACATCAACAGTGGAGACGGGACCCGGTCGGCCAGAGTGGACTGTGAATCGAGGGGCACTCATGTCACACGGTCTCTTTTAGGCAGGGTCTCTGTGGGAGTGCAGTCTACCCTGAAGAGGAAAGAGGACCCTGCAGACCCTGGAGTCCCCCAGAAGAGCCTCCAGTTTGTGGGGGTCAATGGCGGGTGAGTGGATCCCCAGCCCCCAGTGGCTGCGAGTCCTTCATACTGTGACACTGAAGAGCAGGAGGCCTGAGCTTGCCCTGCTGCTGAGGGCCACTCCCATCTAGGCCCCTCCCTGTTAACCTCTCCAGTCAAAGCCTAAGGAGCGGAGGAGAAGGAAACTGAGGCAGAGGAGTAGGTGCACGTTGTTGGGACCCAGTCAGTGGCTCTGGAGCCCGTGTGGGTCCACTGTGCCCCCGGAGGGCCTGATTCAGATCAGTGCCCTGGGACGGCGCTCCAGGTCTGCCGTGCAGGCTGAGTGATGGTTCTAGTGTGAGACACTTAGTAATGGAGGGCCATGGACAGGCCGACCCCCCGGTGAGGGGCTGCAGCGTGCATTTCAGACACCTGCCTGCCTAGCATGGGACTTGCACTGGGTTCATCCCTAACGCCAAATGTGGAGAAACTGAGGACCAGGCAGGTCACACTGGTCCCTCCCATCCCCATCGTTCTCCTCTGTCACTCCGTAGGTATGAGTCCTCGTCGTCGGAAGACTCCAGCACAGCAGAAAACTCAGAACAGGAGAGCACAGAGAATGGAGCTCCAGAGCCACCGGCGAGGGTCCCGAGCACGGCTGAATGCCCCCAGGTCAGGCCTCCCGGGACTGCAGCGGCCAAGGCCGGTCTGGAAGAGAGCCCACTCCCCCAGGAAGCTCGGCGTGTGCCCGCAGCCGGGGCGGCATCAGGACCCAACTCTGAGGACGAAATTCGGTCAGTTCTCTGGGTGGGAGGCATCGGGCAGGGTGAAGGGTGGGGACCTGCTGCTGCCTGGGATCCAGGGACGGCATCGGGCAGGGTGAAGGGTGGGGACCTGCTGCTGCCTGGGATCCAGTCAGAAAGGAAGCACGTGCTTCTGAAAGTTTTCTTGTCTTTTTGAGACAGGTCTCACTATGTAGACCAGGCTGGCCTCAGACTCACAGAGATCCACCTGCCTCTGCCTCGTGTGTGCACGTGTGTTTATGTGTGCATGTGAAGGCTCTGGGTCTCCGGGTCAGTGTTGTTTTTCCCTCTATCAGTTTTTCTTTTGCGTGTGTGTGTGTGTGTGTGTAGGCAGGCCCAGGACTGGCGTTCAGTGTCTTCTTCCGCCACTCCCTGCCTTAGCTCCCTGACCCAGCTGACTGCAGCCCCGTCCAGCGAGCTAGCATGTTGTACAGACCTCCTGTCTTCCACTCATGCCTGGGGTTGCTGCTCCCCTGCCATGCCCACCTGGCATTTCCGTGGCTTCTGGGGTGTGGATTGCTGCCCTCACACTCACGCTGCAAGTCCTTTTCTACTGAGGCATCTTCCCACCCCCTCCCTTTCTGAGATAAGGTCAGGTTGCCCAGGCTAACCTTGAACTCACACTGTAGCCCAAGCTGCCTTGAACTTGCAGTCTACTGCCTCCAGTTCCTGAGTGTTAGGATCGTAGACATGTGTAACCAAGCCTCGGTGATGGGGTGCTGGGCTGGACCCCAGGGCCCCGGGCCTATTAGGCAAGTGTAACAAACTGAGCCACATCTCCACCCCACTCTTCCTACTTCTGTAGAGTCGCTAGTTTTCCAGGCTAGCCTTCGGCTCGCTGTAAGCTAGGCTAGCCTTGAACCTGCAATCTTGCCTCAACCTCCAAGTAGCTGGGATTCCCAATCAGGTCCGCCAGCCCTGGCAATGTACCTGTCCTATTGAGTTTGAAATTCACCTGGGACACATGAGACCGTGTCTCAAAAAACAGGGAGAGGCCTGGGTGATGGCTTTCCAGTTAAAAGCACCAGCTGCTCTCCCAGAAGACCTGGGTTCAATTCTTGGACCCACATGTGTTGTGACAAAACTTTTCCTGAGGAGACACAACACACATGTCTACTCCCCCCAGACAGGGAGCCCACGACAGACCAAAGTACAGATACCACCAAAGTCTAACTAGGTGAACCAGTGAGTGTTATTGGGGTTACTTACAGGAGTGTGGGTGAGGGGTTACTCACAGGAGCAGAAACGACTCTAAGACCCCTGCGTCCCCAAGGCCCACCCCAGCATGGGTGACAGCTCACAAAGCTGGGAACCTGAGACACTGCACAGCCTGCAGGCAGCTGCACAGGTTGGAGAGCGTCCTTCCCAGGTGCAGGTGGCTAAACCTCTCTCCCAGGCAGCTGGGCCGGTGTCTGCCTCTCCCAGGCAGCTGGGCCGGTGTCTGCCTCTCCCAGGCAGCTGGGCCGGTGTCTGCCTCTCCCAGGCAGCCGGGCTGGCCTTAGAGTCTTCTTTGCAGCTCAGCTTCACTTGGTCTGAGCCAGTGGTTCTCACCCTTCCTAACACTGTGACCCTTAATATGGTTCCCCAGGTTGTGGTGACCCAACCATAAAATCATTTTCCTTGTTACTTCCTGACTGTAATTTGCTACTGTTATAAATTGTAATATAAATATGTTTTCTGGTGGTCTTAGGCCATCAGTGGGAAAGGGTCATTGACCAGCCCCCAAGGGGGTCACTACCCACAGGTTGAGAACCACTTATCTGAGGCACCTCCGCTTTTATTGCTTGCTTTGACAAGGAGAGCCCTGCTGAATCTGGTCAGTTTCGGGGACTTCCTGGAACTATTTTGAGTTGTTTACCTTCCTGTTTAAGGAGCTTCCTGTAGGATAAAATGTTTCAATCTCAGAAGAAACTGTTACACAACTATGTGGCTGCTCACAACCATCTGTAACAGCAGTTCTAGAGAATCCAACTCCCTCTTCCAGCCTCTTTGGACACTACACACACATGGTGCACAGATACACATACATGCAGGCAAAACACCCATACATATAAATAACAATGAATAAATTTTTGATACTATAATCTGATAATAATCTCCCTTCCCTTTCTCCTTCTAAACCTCCACATACCCCATCCCACTCTCTTTCAAATTCATAGCCTCTATTTTTTTTGTTACTGCATGTATGTATGTAAACATACATATTCCTAAATATAATCTTTTCAGTCTGTATAATGCTACTTGTACATGTATTTTCAGGACTGACAAAAATTAATTTTTTAAAAATTATAATGGGCTGGAGAGATAGCTCAGTGGTTAGGAGCACTGGCTGCTCTTCCAGAGGACCCAGGTTCAATTCTCAGTACCCACATGGCAGTTCACAAATGTCTGTAACTCCAGTTCCAGGGGATCTGACACCCTCACACAGACATACATGCAGGCAGAACACCAATGCACATAAAATAAAAACAAATTAGAAAGAAAGAAAGAAAGAAAGAAAGAAGAAGAAGAAGAAGAAGAAGAAGAAGAAGAAGAAGAAGAAGAAGAAGGGCACACACACCTTTAATCCCAGCACTTGGAAGGCAGATGCAGGCAGACCTCTGAGTTCAAGGCCAGCCTGATCTACAGAGTGAGTTCCAGGACATCCAGTGCTACACAGAAACCCTGTCTCAAAAAAACAAAATGATAATAATAATAATAATAATAATAATAATAATAATAATAGTAAAATGAGGGATCCTCAGGTCAGGCAGCTCATAATTGCCTATAACTCCAGCTCCAGGGGACATTACATCTCCTGGCCTCCACAGGAATCTGCAGTCGTATGCAGACACATATATGTATTAGCATAAATGGGTTTTTTAAATTTTTTAAGATTTGTTTTATTTTATGCATATGAGTGTTTTACCTACATGTCAGTATGAGTACCACATGCATGCCTAATGCCCACAGGGGCCAAAGGAGAGCATTGGATCCCCTGGGACTGGTTTTAAACAGTTGTGAGCCTCCATGTGGGTGCTGGGAACCAAATCCAGGTCTTTTATAAGAACAGGTGCTCTTAATTACTGAGCCATCTCCTCGGCCCTTAAGCATAAATCTGAAAAAGTAAGTAAAGGGGCTAGAACTGGAGGTCTCCTGTTGCAAATCACCCTCTGGAGCGATGGAAGGATCTTTCTACTAGCACTTGGAGGAAACCTGATCTAGTGTTGGTGTGGGCCCCGGGGTTCTGTTTATGCCTTTCCTCAGGACAATGAGGTTCCTCTTTGGATTCCTGAGCGCTGTGTGTGCCCTGTGGCTGCTGCTGAAGCCCAACATGGCAGAGACCTATTGAGCCTTCGTGAAAAACTCTCCCCTTCTGATGCCAATGGGGATTGAGAGCCCAATATGGCCAGCTTTGGCAAGCATTAGCGTAAGCCTCGGAACTGTAGCCATGCTTTTGGATTCTCCAGAAGAGCTGCCAGCCTAAGTCTTGCTGGGATCAAGAAAAATGGGCCTTGGCGTTTCGTGTTCCTGGAGTTGTATCCATGCCAGTGGATGCCCACATGCTCCAGAAGAAAATTTGACATTGCTGCTGCCATTGTTGCTGTTATAGCAGTGGCGGCCACCACTGCTACTATTTCTGGGATTACCATTTCATAATTGCTTACTACAACTAGCACAGTGGAGACCCTGGCAGCAAAAGTAGCTACCACAGTTAGTTAATCTTTCATTCTTTTGGGCATGATAAATTTAATTCAATAGTTATATACATTTCAATTGGCTTTGAAAATTATATATTTATAAACTCAAGTTCCATCTTACAAGGACTCCAATTTGTAGTAAGGCTTATTAAGGAAGGGAATGGCTCAGTTGCTTTAGCCTACTGGCTATGGGTGGGATAGGACCTCTGTTGGTCTTTTCTGTGTCGAACACACAGATTGCAAGCCCAGTGCCACTTTGAGATCTTTGGCATCAGTTAACTCTGCAGCTCACACACGATTGAGCCTGTATGATAATGAGTATTCAGAGACGGGTAATGCCTGGGGGGCGCTCACCAACCTAAGACAGAGCGCCTGTGTGGCCTGGGCAGGCGTCTCCATGACGGGTAAGGTGACCTGCTGACGTCCCATGCAACCTAAGTCAGAAGCTCATTTTTTAGTAAAAGGGGGACCTGTAGGGCCGTGGCCCCGGTTTTGGGTAACTGTTGCCTTGCTTGCTGACCTTGATCTTAATATCCTCCCTATGCTAATTCCCTGCTGGGTTCCACCCTCCTGAATGCTTAAGGGAAGTTCCTTGCCTGTGTATCCTGCATAATGGGCGTTAACAGCTTAGATGCAAGATTGTAAAACATCTGTAGCGAACTTCTGCCCTCCGGGGCTCTCCCATTGTGCTGTAAGCCTGTATTAAAAACCTCTTCCCTCCTTCAATAAACAGCATTCGGCATAAAAAAATTTAAAAAAAAATAAGTAAATACAGGGGCTAGAGAGATGGCTCAGCAGTTAAGACCACTGGCTGCTCTTCCAGAAGACCTGGGTTCAAATCCCCGCACCCACGTGGCAGCTCACAACTGTCTGTAACTCCAGTTCCAGAGAATCCAACACCCTCACACAGACAGATATTGCAGGCAGAATACCAATGCACATAAAAATAAATTTTAAAAAAATGCAGGCAGTGATGGCACATGCTTTTAGTCCCAGCACTCGGAAGGCAGAGGCAGGCAGATCTCTATGAGTTTGAGGCCAGCCTGTTCTACAGAGTTCCAGGACAGCCGATACATTTTTTTTTTTTTTTTTTTTTTTTTTGGTTTTTCGAGAGCCGATACATTTTTAGAAAGTAAAATAATGTAAGCTCAATCTTACTTGTTCTTGGCAGGATGGATCTGAGCCCTGACCTCATATCAGCCTGCTTGGCCCTGGAGAAATACCTGGAAAACCCCAATGCTCTCACTGAGCGAGAACTGGTAAGGGGGGATCCCTGGGCCCAAAGTACCCCTTCACCCTCACGCCACACCTCCCCACCCTCAGGGTCTCTGCACCCACTTAGTGAGGTCCGAGCCACCAAGGGCGTCTGGTGGGTGGGACTTGAGTCCCGGAGTTGGTGGTGGGGTCTACTGTTGTCTGGGGACTAGCCTGGCTTCGGGTTCTTATTTTGGGGATGTTTGGGAGATACCATACTTTCCTTTTAGGCACTGTGTCTATAGTTATCTTAGAGTGTGTGGGGGCACGCGCACACTGAAGTCCAAGGGTCCTATGCACCCCAGAGTGTCAGCACTTCCACTGTGGTTGAGTCAACAGCGATTACTTTGCTGGTTTGTTTTCATTTGAGGTCTCATGTAGCCCAGGCTGGCCTCGAACTACATTTGTGGCTAAGGATGACCCTGAACTCCTGATCCTTGTGCCTTCATCTCCCAAGTAGAGGGATTGCAGACCTGTGTGCACCACCTGACTGGATTTGTTTTTTGAGACAGGGTCTCACTATAGCCCTGAGCTGCTATGCAGATGGGGCTGGCCTTGAACTCATTGAAATCCTTCTGCCTCTGCTTCATGTGTTCGTTTTCTGAGAAGTTCTCAATATGTAGCCCAGTTTGGCCTTGAACTCTGTATATTTTCCTTCCTTGGGCTCCTGAGTGCTGGAATCGGACAGATGCTACCTTGCCCAGCCAAGGGCACCTCTGTTCGTACTCTAGGATGGGGTACCACTTCTGTTCTTGAATCTTTGTGCAGAAGGGGTATCCCCATCCTCACTCCCCATTCCTGCTGTCTATCCAGAAAGTGGCCTATACCACGGTACTTCAGGAATGGCTGCGCCTGGCCTGCCGCAGTGACGCACACCCTGAACTTGTGCGGCGACATCTGGTCACCTTCAGGGCCATGTCGGCCCGGCTGCTGGACTATGTGGTCAACATCGCCGACAGCAATGGTAACACCGCGCTGCACTACTCCGTGTCACACGCCAACTTCCCTGTGGTGCGGCAGTTGCTGGACAGTGGTAAGTAAGCCTCTGGGCGGGACCGGCCTGATGGTCTGATGGGGGAGGCATGTCTTCCCAGGCTCAAGAGAGTGGCTGCCTTCCTGCTCCAAAGTTCCTGCTCCCTTCACAGTCTGATGGAGGGGTGGTGGGCACGGAGCACAGCTTCCCAGCTGGATGGAGGAGGCATTGTGGAGGCATTGTGCTTTCTCACTCTTGTGATCTGATGGAGGCAATACCACCTTCTTAAGCTGCATGGAAGGAGAATGTGCCCTTCATTGACTGATGAAGGGGGCTTTGCCCTCCCAGTCTGATGGAGGAAGCTGCCTCTTAGTCTGATGAAGGGATGTAGCCCGCCCAGCCTGGTAGAACAGGCTCTGTCTTTGCAGTGTGCTGGGAAGACTTGGTCTTCTCCTTTAGCAGAATAATGGATTCAGTCTTGATGTCACAGCACTGTGTCATCTCTGAATGGTACCTGTGTGATAGACACACAGTTTCCAAAGCCCTTGTGTGAGGGAAGGCTGTGGCCTCTAGGCTGGGGATTGGAGAGTACACGTGGTATTCAGTCAGGCAGGAAGAAACTTGTCTTCCTGGTCTGATAGAGGAGGCAGAACTTCCCAGTCTATGAGGGAGCAGGACTCAGGGTCTGGTGGACAAGGTGTGGACCTGTTGGAAGGCTGAATGGCAATTCTCAGCCCTAATGGTACATGTGGCATCAGCCAGGCACCCCAGGTCTGGGAGAGGAGGCGCAGTCTCTACCTTCTGGGACCCCCTCATCTACTGGGGTAACGGTATGACTATAGCATATGGGATCCCCACTTGAGAACAGAAAGCAGTCTGGGGGCTGTGGAGGAAGTATAGCTGTGAAGGGCCTGCCATGCAGGCATGAGGACCTTTGTGAAGAGCAAGTGCCTGTGACTCCGGCACTGGGGAGGCAGAGGCAGGAGGATCCCTGGGGCCCACTGAACAACCACCCCAGCCTGCTTGGCAAGCTCCAGGACAAAGAGACTACCTTAAGAAAAAGAAAAAGATGGTGGCTAGGGGGATCGCTTTGTGAATCAAGTGCTTTTCCTGCCTCCAAGACCCTAGTTCAGGTCCCCAACACCCAAGTTTAAAAAAAAAAAAAATCTAGCCATGGAGGCATGTGCCTGTAGCCCTAGTTCCTGGAGGGAGACCGGTGGGGACAGGAGAGTACTGGAGCTTGCTGGCTGCCAGCCACAATTCAGTGACAGAGCTCATCTCAAAAATGAAGTGGAGGCCGGCGGTGGTGGTGGTGGCGGCGGCGGCGGCAGCAGTGCATGCCTTTAATCCCAGCACTCGGGAGGCAGAGCCCGGCGGATCTCTGTAGTTCAAGAGCAAGATCCAGAACAGCCAAAGCTACACAGAGAGACCCTGTCTCAAAAAACAAAACAAAACAAAAAATGGTGGAGAGCAGTCAAGGAAGTGGCCTGGTCCTGCCCCTGACCTGCATGTGCACACACCCAGGCTACACACACACACACACACACACACACACACACACACACACACATATAAAGCTTTTTTTTTTTTTTTTAAAGATTTATTTATTGTGTATAGTGTCCTGCTTGCATGTATGCCTACATGCCAGAAGAGGGCACCAGATCTCATTATAGATGGTGGTGAGCCATCATGTGGGTGCTGGGAATTGAACTCAGGACCTCTGGAAGAGCAGCCAGTGCTCTTAACCACTGAGCCATCTCTCCAGGCCCTCATAAAGCTTTTTAAGAAGGGGGGGCATCAAGATGGTCCAGTGGCTAAAAGTGGCCGCTACCCTCACAGAGGACCCGTGTTGAGTTCCCAGCACCCACATCAGGCAGCTCACAACTATCCAAAACTCTACCTAAAGCGCCCTCTTCAGGACCATTGGGCACGTGTACTCTTGTGCACATACACACACCAAAAATTAAAACATAATAAATCTCTTTTAAAACAAGATATATATATGTGTGTGTGTGTGTGTGTGTATGTATGTATGTATTTGCTTGTTTGTTTGTTTTTCAAGACAAGGTTTTCTGTGTAGTCCTGGCTGTCCTGGAATTCTCTTTGTAGATCAGGCTGGCCTCAAACAGAGATCCCCCTGCCTCTGCCTCCCAAGTGCTGGGACTAAAGACATGGGCCACCACACCCAGCTCTAAAATAATATTTTCAGGCGATGGTGCACTGGGAAGGCAGAGGCAGACAGATCTCTGAATTCAAGCCAGCCTGGTCTGCAGAGTTCCAGCACAGCCAGGGCTACACAGAGAAACCTTGTCTTGAAAACAAAACAGACAGAAAACCCAAACAAACGAAAACAAAACCCAAGCAAAGCAAACACCACGCAAACCCAAGTGCCTGGCTCCTGAAGAAGTCCCTCTGCTCTCCACGAGCACATGAACACATATAGAGACCTGCTTGGCTGTGCCTAGACAGAGGGATGGGACAGTCCCCGGTGCTCACTGGGGTGGGCCAGCCTTTAGTCCTGACGGCAGAGGCTCACGCCCACCCCCGTCCCCACCCTCCCGGCACAGGTGTCTGTCAGGTGGACAAGCTGAACCGTGCTGGTTACAGCCCCATCATGCTTACTGCTCTGGCCACCCTGAAGACCCAGGATGACATTGAGACCATCCTTCAGCTCTTCCGGCTCGGGAATGTGAACGCCAAAGCCAGCCAGGTATGGGGCTGCCGTGGGCCTTTATTTAATCTGTTTACTAGGCATGGGGACCTTGTGCCATGGTGCACTTGTGGAGGCAAGAGGACACATTTTGAGACTCAGTTCAGTCCTAATGCCATGTGGGTCCTGGGAATTAAACTCAGGTCCTCAGGCTCGGGGGCAAATGCCTCACCCACTGAGTCCTCTCCCGTGCTCCCAGACCTTCTTTATTAGCTCCAGGCTTTGGGCCTCGCCAGGTCATGATAACTTTCTGTGTACGTGGGAACAGTCACTGCTCTGAGGCTCAGAGAAGCAGTATTATTTCTTTAAGGTCCAAGGCAAGGAGCTGATGTTTGAACCTGAGTGGCTCAACATCAGAACAAGCTCTGGATTGCTGCGTGTGTGTGTGTGTGTGTGTGTGTGTGTGTGTGTGTGTGTGTGTGTGTGTGTGTGTGTGTGTGCACGCACCAGAGGGCCATGCATTTTAAGTCATGTTTCTCACTAAATTCCCCTAGACTGGCTATCCAGCCTCCTCCAGATGCTGGGGTCACAAGTTACACAAGGACCTGATTGTGCGTGAAGTCCTTCTGAGGGAACTCGGCTCAAGACATCACTTACTTTGCTACAGGGTATCTCCACCTCCCTCTCTGGGACAGTGTCTAGCAGGTACCCCAGGCTGGCCTGGAACTCACAGAGATCCGCTGGCCTCTGCCTCCTGAGAGCTGGATTAAAGGCGTGCGGCACACTTGGTGTGTTTTGCCTGTGTGTATGTGCACCATGTTTGTGCCTGGAGGTCAGAGGAGGGCATCGGGTCCCCTGTGACTGGAACTAGAAGTGGTTGTGAGCGTCCATGTAGGTGCAGGGAACCAAACCTCGGCATGAGCAATTGGTGTTCGTTGCCGCTTGGCCACTCCGGCTCACAGCCCTCTTCTTACATGGTAATTTGAAATAGGATGTCGCTGAGTTACCCAGGCTGGCCTGAACTGTCCCGACATGAGACCCTGTGACACCAGGCCCCGCCTCTTCTCTTTCCTTCCCGGCGTCCCCTTCACTCCCCTTCTGTCTCCAGAGGCGATGCATGCTATAACCCCAGCACTTAGGAGACAGAGGCAGTAAGATCAAGGGTTAACGTAGCAAGCTCCAGCCAGCCTAAGCTATGTGAGACCTGCCTATTAAATAGTGAAAATAACAACAATAATGATAAAGAGGAAAACCCTGTAGAGGTACACTCTCTATCCCAGGCCCCTGCTCGGAACATGTCCTATAAATGGAGTTACAGCGACCCCAGCTGTGAATCATAGTATTCAGGAAACCTCTAAACCAAAGGGTCACAGGTTCCAGTCCATCCTGGGGGCTCTACAGTGAGACTCTGACACACTAGAACAAACAGACACCATCTGTAATTTTGTGTGTGTGTGTGTGTGTGTGTGTGTGTGTGTGTGTGTGTTTTTCCAAGTTTGAGCATCCATCAGTATTCTGAATAATGTTCTTTTTCATGGCTGAGTGGGATTCTGTTGTATGTCTAGACATGGTTTGTTTTATCTGTTCACCCACTCATGACCATCAATTTTTAATTGTTTCTTTGGATGTAACTAGTATACAGAAAAATATGCAAATCTTAGTTGGATATGTTTTTGTTTTTTCTGTATTTAGTTTGATTGTCATTTTTTTGTTTGTTTGTTTGTTTTGTTTTTGTCTTGGTTTGGTTTTGGTTTTTCCAAACGGTGTTCCTATGTGTATACCTGGCTGTCCTGGATCTTGCTCTGTAGACCAGGCTGGTCTCAAATTCACAGATATCCACCTGCCTCTGTCTCCCAAGTGCTGGGATTAAAGGTGTGCGCCACTACCACCTGGCTAGTTTGGTTAAATTTTTGCAACTTTACACCTATGAGTTGGGGGCTCATGGTCGGTGACCCTACAGCTGTGTAGAACCAAGAGAGCCCTTCTGAGGACGACCAGTTTATGCTGAGACCTGAGGGAAGAGGAGGAGCCAGGAGAAGGAGGGCCCAGCGTGTGCACCCAGTCAGTGTCAGGCACTTGGGAGCCATGGAGTGCTCAAGAGCAAGGGGTGTGATGTCACTGGGCCTCTGTACTACAGCCCTGTTCTGTTGTCTCAGGCAGGACAGACGGCCCTGATGCTGGCAGTCAGCCATGGACGGGTGGATGTGGTCAAAGCTCTGTTGGCCTGCGAGGTGGATGTCAACATTCAGGATGAGGATGGCTCCACAGCCCTAATGTGTGCCTGTGAACACGGACACAAGGAGATCACTGGGCTCCTGCTGGCTGTGCCTGACTGTGACATCTCACTCACCGATCGAGTGAGTGCCCACGCAGGTGCTCTCCAGGGAGGGTGGGTTGCACACACAGGGCATCTTTACAGGTGTGGGTGCTTTGCAGGACGGGAGCACCGCACTGATGGTGGCCCTGGATGCAGGGCAGAGCGAGATCGCATCCATGCTGTACTCACGCATGAACATCAAGTGCTCGGTGAGTCCCAGTCGATCCCTGCACAAGGGGGTGGGGCTCAGGGGAGCTGCCCGGTGGGTGATAGGTGCTGTCATCCCAGGATTTGGGATTTGAGGTAGAAGGATGAGCTAGGCAGTTCCAGTCCAGCCAGGGTTACTGAGTGGAGTTTAAGGCCAGCCTGAGCAACTAAGTCAGACTTACCTCAAAATGAAAAGAGAAAGCGGGTCTGGGGCAGGGGTCAGTGAAGAAGTCAGACCCTCTCTGTCCCCAGTCTCCACTTTGATTCCTTCCCATGCCTTCTCTGCAAGGGCAGGGTGACAGTCCGTGCTGTATGTGGTGCCTTGGAAGGCTGCTCCCTCCCTCTGCCTCTGCAGCAAATCTCCTCCTCACAGGGATTTGACAGTATGCCAAGAAAGAATTCTGCCTCTCGTTACAGTTCGCTCCCATGTCAGACTACGAGAGCCCGGCATCATCCTCAGCCGAAGAGTAAACCCGGAGAGGCCGGTGACTCCCCAAGGACCGCCAGCCACACAGGCAAAGCGTCCCTACCCTCATCCCTTTCTGCCCCGCGCTTCCTCAGCCTTGCTCTCCAAGGCAGACCCCCTCCACTTCTCGGGGGAGTCCTGACATCTACAGACTCCAGCTCCACAGAGCCTTTCCCAGCACCCGGGGTTCAAAGCCACATTCAAAGCCAAAAGCCAAGCTACATTCTCCTCCAGTTGGCCCCAGCTGCTGCCACCGGGTGTGGGTTCTTGTGAAGAGCGGGAGAACAATCAGCCGGCAATTATGGGAGGAGTGGGGCTCGAGGGGAAAATACTGTATTTTTGAGTCATTGTTAGGGGAGGGGAGGGGTCAGAATTTGAGTTGCTAAATTCGAATGTCCCTGGAATGTTAGTCTCCTTTGTGCGGACTTCACCACAGCAGGTCTCCACAAGGCCTGCTTAGTGCCCTTTATTGCCTCGTTTCATTGTTTAGTGTATAATAGGGTTCTGTCCACCGCCCTCCACCCCCAGACAGCTTTCTTGGGGGCTAAGGGTGTCCCTTGGGATTGCCTCACAGAACAAGGGTCTGTCGTTCTTGAGCCGTCTGTCCCCACATGGAAAGCAGGGTTTTCATTTGTCTTTTTCTTTTTATTATCTGTCACTGACCCTGTCCCCCCCACACACACATTCAAGTTGGGGCGCTTCATCACCCTGCACTTCAGGTCCTGGTGGGCCCTGTGACTTGGAAATGACCAACTTCCGAGGAGGAAGGACACAGACCCACCCATTCCCCACAGGGAGAGCTCAGGACGCAAGAATGTTCCTAGAAAAACTTCCAGACCTACACACCAAAGAGAAAGAGGCCATTTCAGAGTGCCTCCCAGCATTGGAGCCCAGAACTGCTCTCCTCAAAGGAGAGCAAACAGGGATGTGATACTGACCAAGTACAGACGAGTTCCACAGCCCATGTGTTCCTGATTAGGCGCTGGCTGGCCTCAGAACACACCCAGAGCTAGCTTAAAGTGACAGGCTTTGCTGAAAGCCAGAGGGCCGGATAAGTGGTTGTGTGTGTGTGTGTGTGTGTGTGTGTGTGTGTGTGTGTGTGTGTGTGTGTGTTTAAAGGCCTAGACAGGGCACAGATAGCCTGCACTTTTCTCTTACTGGACCTCCCCCCCCCCCCAGAATCTCAGCATGGTTTTTGTTTTTTCTTGTTCCTTTTCTTTGTAAAGAAGAAAGGAAACAACTTCTAAATGTGCCTTGTGATCAGGGAGCACGCCTCTCTCAAGTCTCCCAGTTTTATCCAGGACACAGCTGAACCCACTGGGCTTTGAAGCCAGACCTCAGCAGGGCAGGGTTGAGGCTCGGACTAAAGGAAAGTGCTGGCTTCTCTTCCAGACAGCTAGGTCTCTCGGTTTGATGGAGTCTTACTCGGCTTGAGTTTTGTTAGAGGGATTTGTCTAAGGCATGAGAAGTAAGAAGGATGGGTGGATGGATAGATGATGGATGGATGGGTGAGTGCATGAATAGGTGAATGGTTAGACGAGTGGGTACGTTGATGGATGGGTAGATGAGTGCATGGACAGATGGACGAGAGTGTGGATGGATGGGTAGATGAGTGATGGATGAGTAAGGGGTGGGCTGGTGGGTGGATGTCATGATGGATCTTTGCACGTGTATGAAACAGAACTGTGGGAGAGCTGCTGGTGTCTGAGGGATGCTCACAGCCTAGAGCACATTTGAAAGGCAGTGCTCTGAGCTGAGCCCATAGTTCCAGCCTGGAAGCCAGGGAGGGAGTTTATTTTAAAGTTCTGGAAGCATCATCTGTGATCCCAAAGCACATGGCTCCTCGTGGAAGCCCCTGTCTGTCTCTGCCACTGCTTCTGTCTGCCTGGGCGACACCGGGGTCGGACACTTGTCCCTACTCTCTTTTTGTATACTCAATCCCACTTTGCCACCACGGTACATCCACGAAGACAGTGTTACACGTAAATGAAGTATTCTTTTCTTGTAATCATGTTTTAGAAAGTAAAAGGATTTAATAAAGCTACAAACAATGCCGATGCCTTTGTGTCTTTTTTTTTAAACCCCTTCCCTTTTTAGGCTGGCCTCGAACTTCTGATTCTCCCGCCTCTCTTGCAGGCCACAAGAATATATCATAGAGATTCGGCTGTGTATTAAAGCTGAACTTGGACCGGCCAAGGGTCTGTCAAAAGGCAAAGCCATTTATTATGAATATTTGGTGTTACCCAGCCTTTTATATTCCAGCTGTCTTCTGCTATGAAATCCTTGTGTGCCCAGACCTATTGGTAAACAGTTCAGCTCCCCAGATCTGCTGAACCTACTAAGTTACTGAGTAAACCCTGCTGAGTTTAGGAGACAAGCTTTGTCTCCTGTGCTAATGAAGCTCAGACCATCCCCTTGCCTTGAGGGGGCCTAGTGGTTCTCCAGAGCATTTTGACTGAAAACAAAGGTTTTTACATATCAAGGTGAGAGATAAAACAACATTCCTGAGGAGGTAGGGAAGGAGGTGCCCAGGGAAAGAAAAGGCAGGCATTTCCTGTAGAGAGACAGAACAGAAGAGAGGAAGACAGAGGTTCCATCGAGGGTAAGCAGATCTCGGGTAGAGTTTTCAAGAGCCAGGAGTAGAGTGCAGCAGAGATGGAGAAAGGGGATACAGAGGACAGAGATGAGGCTGGAAGCCTAGGAGTTAGTCATTAGCTGGACTGTGAACTGGGGAGCTGGACGGAACTGCAGTTATGGAGACAGGATTTCATCCCAGAGAAATAAAGTAGACGGATACAGAGCTTGGTATGTCTAGAGTTGTTCCTGCCTTGAGTGCCTGGTGGAGCTAGAGCTGAATTGATAGAATTTTGTCTTTGAGGAATAAAGTTAACAGACATAAGAACAGTGTACGTAGATTTTTTTTTTCCCTCAGACCCCACGCCGGACATAGCAAAGCCCCCTTGGACCCTGGGAGTTCGATACGCCTCCTTTTCCCATCCAGTGTATCTGATGCTGGGCGTGTAGCCCAGTGTGTTGTGTGTGCTAGGGTATGCTAACTGAGCCCTGTCCTCAGTCCCCTGCATCTGTTCTGTCTCTTGCTATACTTTGTGTGTGCAGCCCTGGGGATTGAACGCAGGACTTGTGCACACCAGGCAAGTGCTGTGGCGCTGAGCCACATCCCAGGTCATTATTTTGTGATTCTTTAAGCTTTTAAAAATAGACCTAAAGTGTTGGAGCCATGGCTCAGCAGGTAAGAGCATGTGCTGTTCCTCCAAAGGACCCAAGTTTTGTTTCTAGCACCCACGTCGGGCAGATCAGACATGCAGCTCACAGCCCCTGAAATTCCAGCTCCAAGAAATCCTATGGCCTTTGTGGGCACTGGATTTACATGCACATACACACATAATTAAAAATAAGTCTTTTAAAAATAATAAGGCGCTGGGCGGTGGTGGCGCACGCCTTTAATCCCAGCACTCGGGAGGCAGAGCCAGGCGGATCTCTGTGAGTTCGAGGCCAGCCTGGACTACCAAGTGAGTTCCAGGAAAGGCGCAAAGCTACACAGAGAAACCCTGTCTCGAAAAACCAAAAAAAAAAAAAAAAAAAAAAATAAGGCCGCCAGGCGGTAGTGGCGCACACCTTTAATCCCAGGACTGGAGAGTCAGAGGTAGGAGGATCTCGGTGAGTTCAAGGACAGCCAGGGCTACATAGAGAAACCTTGTCTTGAAAACAAAACAAACAAACAAACAAAAAAGATAAAATAGGTCTGGAGAGATGGCTTAGTGTTTACGAGCACCGGCTGGACCCGAATCCAATTTCCAGCACCCACACAGTGACTCAGAACAGTGGTTCCCAAGGATCTGATGCCCTCTGCTGGCCTCTGCAGACTCTATGTATGCACTTGATGACACACACACACACACACACACACACACACACACACACAAAGTAAAATCTTACCAGCGGTGGTGGCACAAGCCTTTAATCACAGCACTGAGGAGGCAGAGGCAGGTGGATCTCTGTGAGTTCAAGGCCAGCCTGGTCTACAGGGTGACTTCCAGGACAGCCAGGGCTACACAGAGAAACCTGTCTTGAAAAACCAATAATAGTAATAATAATAATCTTAAAAAATTGAATAACTCCAAGGACTGGGGAATCTCAGTCAGTAAGGCACTTGCTTCCCAAGCCTCAGGCATACATCCTGTCTCCAGCACTGGGAAGGCAGAAACAGGAAGCCCCTGTGTGCCTCTAGAGCCAGCTGGGATAGTTGGCATAGTCAAAGTGTCAAGTTGCAGGCCAGCAAGAGATCCTGACTCCTGAGGTTGTCCTCTAGCCTATTCATGCACACATATGCACACACATGTGCACACCTGTAATCCCAACACCGGAGAAAGAGAGACAGGAATATCTGAAATTCAAGACTATCCTTGGCTACTTACTGAGGTTCAGCCCAGCCTGGCTTATATGAGACCCTGTCTCAAAAAACAGATCAAAGCCGGGCGGTGGTGGCGCACGCCTTTAATCCCAGCACTTGGGAGGCAGAGCCAGGCGGATCTCTGTGAGTTCGAGGCCAGCCTGGTCTCCAAAGCGAGTTCCAGGAAAGGCGCAAAGCTACACAGAGAAACCCTGTCTCGAAAAACCAAAAAAAAAAAAAAAAAAAAAAAAAAAAAAAAAAAAAAACAGATCAAAACAATAGCAACATAAATAAGTTGTGTGTTAGTATTATTCCCAAGATTAAAAACTTGTCTCCACCGGGCGGTGGTGGCGCACGCCTTTAATCCCAGCACTTGGGAGGCAGAGCCAGGCGGATCTCTGTGAGTTCGAGGCCAGCCTGGACTACCAAGTGAGTCCCAGGAAAGGCGCAAAGCTACACAGAGAAACCCTGTCTCGAAAAACCAAAAAAAAAAAAAAAGAAAAACTTGTCTCCACACAGGTTTTTTTTTTTTTTTTTTTTTTTTTTTTTGGTTTTTCGAGACAGGGTTTCTCTGTGTAGCTTTGCGCCTTTCCTGGGACTCACTTGGTAGTCCAGGCTGGCCTCGAACTCACAGAGATCCGCCTGGCTCTGCCTCCCAAGTGCTGGGATTAAAGGTGTGCGCCACCCCCCCACACACCCCCCACCACCCCACCCCGGCATCCACACAGGTTTTTGATGATGGTAGTGGTGATGGTAATGGTGTTTTGTCTCATGCAACCCACTCTGGTCCCAAGCTCACTACATAGCCAAGGATGACCTTGAACTTCTGATTCTCCTGCTTCCAGCTCCCAAGTGCTGGGATGACAGGCATGCACTGCAATACCATGTTTTGTTCCCTCTGAGGATAAACCCAAGGCTTCCAGCATGCTGGGCAAACGCTCTGCCAGCCGAGCCCCAGCCTCAGGCTTTAGCCATTCACAGTTATAACTCACACCTTTGTGCCGCAATTGTGCACAAGTGGACAGAGTCAGGCCACAGGCAGGAAGCCTCCAGCCCACAGCCTTCACCAAAGAGCAAGCGCTTCCCCCAGATCCACCAAATTCTGGAAATGGAACTCAGGCCCGCCAAAGAGCAGTGTGTTACATGATCTTAAACGCTGAGCCTTCTCTCCAGCCCCACTCTTTATTCTTTTTTTTTTTTTTTTTTTTTTGTTGTTGTTGTTACTTTAAACTCTAGATTGGTCCAGAACCACTGATCCTCCTGCCTCATCCTCAAGTGTGGGGATTACAGACCTGGACCACCATGTCAGAATTCCTGGTTCTGGATGATTTTTTGGTGGGGGTGGAGGTGGGCATGGGTCCAGACAGGGTTTCTCTGTGTAGCCCTGGCTGTCCTGAAACTCACTCTGTAGACCAGGCTGGCCTTGAATGCAGAGATCCTCCTGCCTCTGCCTCCTGAGTGCTGGGACTACAGGCCTGCACCATCACAGTTTGTTAAATCTTTTTTTATATTTATTTATTTTATTTTTTGTGTGAATGTTACCACACATGTGCCTGGTGCCTAATGGAGGTCAGAAGAGGGCTTCAGATCCCCCTGGAACTGTGGTTACAGACAGTTGTGAGCTAGGAATTGAACCTGGGTCCTCCTCGAGAGCAACCAGAGCTCTTAACCACGGAGCCTTCTACAGCCTCATCCACATCTGGTTTATGTAGTGCTGAGGATGGAACCCAGGGTTTCACGTGTGGAGGGCAAGCTCTCCACCGGCTGGGCCACATCCCAGCCCTGCTATAACTTGGTTTTGTGCGGCTGTGGCTCTGTGTCACCATGTGCTGTGGAGGTCAGGGGACAGCTTGCAGGGTCGGTATGTCCCTTCCCTTCCATCAGTGAGTCCTGGGAATTGAACTCAGGTCACTGGCCTTGGTGCTCAGTGTCTTTTCCCAGTGAACCATCTGGCCAGCTCCAAGTCCTTTAGAAAAGAAAAAGAAAAACAATGTTTTAGGAAGCTGTGGAGATGGCTCAGTGGTTAAGAAGAGCCCTGGCTGCTCTTCCGGAGGACCCAGGTTCAGTTCTCAGGACCCACAGGGCAGCTCACAACTGTCTGTAACTCTGTAACTCTAGCTATTGACCTCCTGGGCACCAGGCATGCAGGGAATGGGCAGACATACATACAGGCAGAACACCCATGCACATAAACTTTTTAAAGATTTATTTTTATTTTATGTGTATGAATCTTTATGAGTGTCTGTGCGCCTTGAAGGCCAAAACAGGGTGTGAGATCCCCTAGAACAGGAATTACGAATGTGAGATGTCAACTCTGGTGGATGCTCAGGTCCTCTGCAAGAACAAATAAGTGCTCTTCACCACTGAGCCATCTCTCTAGCCCGCAAAAAAAATTTTTTAACGATTTATTTACTTATTTGTATGTACATTTGGGTTTTGCATGTATGTCTGTGGGAGGATGCCAGGTCTCCCAGAACTGGAGTTACAGACAGTTGTGAGCTGTCATGTGGGTGCTGGGAATTGAACCCGGATCCTTTGGAAGGGCAGCCAGTGCTCCTAACTGCTGAACCATCTCTCCAGCCCTGTTAAATCCTTCTTAAGTCCGCACTTCTTCTGAGGTTCTGGGATGGAAACTGAGGGAGATGCTCTGTGGGCAGAGGACTGAGTTGAGGCAGGGTCTCCTTAGCAGCTGAAGGGTTCTCTCTTCCTATCCTGTTCATGCTGGGGCAAGTGGTCCAGAGTTTCTTACTCCTTGGAGGCCATGTGGATCATGAGGTCCACCACTCTGTTGCTGTAGCCAGATTCCTTGTCATAGCTGGATATGACCTTGACAGAGTGGTTGTTGAGAGCAGTGCTGGGCCCACTATCAAAGATAGACCGGATGTTGCTGTGAGAGTCTCAGGAAACAGCCTTGTCCCCAGATAAGCCCAGGATGCCCTTTAGGGGGCCCTCCAATGCCTGCTTTACCACCTTCTTATTTCTTATTTATATATCTATCTACCTGTTTACTTATTTATTCTTGAGTCAGGGTCTCTCTATGTAGTCCAGGAACTCACTCTGTAGACCAAGCTGGCCTTGAATGAATGCATGGAGATCCACTTGCTTCTGCCTCCCAAGTGCTGGGATTAAAGAAAGGTGTGTACCACCACCCTTTAGCCCGTAAAATTTTTATGAAATGGAAAAAAAATCCATATATAATATCTATTTGGGTAAAATTTACGTATCATTAAATTGGCCATTTTGTTTTTTTCTTTTGGTGCTGAGTAGCACACGGGCCCTTATACAAGGTGGATATGGGCTCTGCCCTGCGCCCCAGATCATCACCTTCACCATTTCGAAGAGCCCAGCGCAGTGGCATTTAGCTCACTCACTGTGTTGTGAAACCATCTCCAAAACTATTTATCTTGCAAAACCGAAACTCTGCCCCCATTGAACACTAGCCCCAACCCCCAGTCCCAGACACTAAAGCTAAGGCATCCAGGGACCTCCAATGAGTTTAGTGGTGTGTGTGTGTGTGTGTGTGTGTGTGTGTGTGTGTGTGTGTGTGTGTGTGTATACAGGTGTCAACACTCCTCTGCCTTGTATTTTGAGACATGGTCTCCTACTGAGCCAGAAGCTCACTGTTCCTGGCTGAGCCAACAGCACAAGGAGCTGCCTGCCCCCCACTCTCTGGCACTCACTTGGGGTGCAGATCCATGCTTCTTGGCTGAATGCTATTTACTTCTTTGTTTGTTTGTTTGTTTGTTTGTTTTGAGATAGAGTCTCTCTATGTAGTCCTTGCTGGCCCAGAGCTCACTCTGTAGCCCAGGCTGGCTTTAAACTCGGAGATCCTCCTGCCTCTGCCTCCCAAGTGCTGGGACTAAAGGTGTGTGCTCTGCCTGGATTTAATGTGGTGCTGGAGACTTGAACTCAGGTCCTTCTGTTTGTACAACAAACACTTTATCCACTGGGCCATCCATCTCCTTTGTCCTTGTTCAGCTGTAGAAGTCTTTTTAAGATGTTCTTTTTCTATGTGTGTGCACGGGTCTGTGTTTCTCTGCGTATGCAGGTCTCCTCGGAGGCCAGAAGAGCACATGGGATCCTTGGAGCTAGAATTACAAGTGTCTGTGACCCACCCAACACAGGTGCTGGGATTCGAACTCCAGGCCACACAATGGAGCAGCAAGTGCTCTTAACCACTGAGCCATCTCCAGCCTTGTAGCTTCTGGTTTGTTGCTTTTCATTGGATTAGTTTTGGTTTTGGTTGTTTGAGACAGGGTCTCACTGTGTAGCCCTGCCTGGCCTGGAACTCACAGAGATCTGCCTGCCTGTTCGTCCTAGCTGAGATTAAATAAAGGTGTGCCACCATGCCTGGCCGTTTATTCTGGTTGGTTGGTTGTTACTGTTTGTTTTGTTTTGAGACTGGGTCTTGTATAGCTCAGGCTAACATTGATCTTACAGTGTTGCCAAGGATGACTTTGAACTCCTGATCCTCCTGCCTCTACCTCCCAAGTGCAGGGATTGAGACCTGTCTGCACCACCATTCCCAAATTATGCAGGACTAGGATTAGAACCCAGAGCTTCCTGCGTGCCAGGCAGGCTCTCTATGGCCACCCCATGCCCCAGCCCTGTTTTGACTTGTTTGCAACCTCTCGGATACCTCCACTTCACAGCTGAGGACTGGGATTCTAAGCAGCACTGCACCTGGTTTTATGAGTCCTGGGGACTGAACCCAGCACTCTCTGAGTGCTGGGCAAGCACTCTGCTGTTCTCCACCCGTCAGCCCTGTACTTCCGTGTGTTAGGAACCTGTAGTCTCCCCAGTCCTGACATTTGGCAACCTCAGGGGGGCAAGGCCTGTTCTCACCAGCACCAGCTCGTTACTTTTGAGGTGTGTGCCTCTTTTTGGACAGGACCTCTGGCCGGGGCTGTGAGGTGGCACACCCTTTGCTCTTAGATGAGGTGGGTGGCACTTTTCGCCTGGGGATTTATGTCTGCTGGGTCCTCTTGCTCAATCCCAGTACTTATCTCCTGACCCCCACCCCCGCTGATAAGAGCGGGCTATCTTTAGCCCCAGGGTTGGGAAAGAACTGGTAGGAACCAGCCAAGGTCACTGGCACACGTTGCTCTGCTAGAAACCGAACCCTGGGTCCCCACCCCCAATGAGAAACCGAACCCTGGGTCCCCACCCCCAGTGCCTTAACTCAGGCCACCTGTGAGCTAGGCAAGCATTCCCCCACTGACCCAAGGTCTGAGCTCCCTTTCTTTCAAACCTGCACTGTTACGCAATTCACTGAGTTTAGGCCCAGCAAGGTGGGTTGGCCTGACAGAGTCGCGGCTGCCAGGTGAAGCTGGAGCAGTTTCTACTGTGAGAGCTCAGCTCCCCAACAGACACTTTTTAAAATTTTGTCTTGTTTTGCTTTCCTTGATTGCCTTAAAACAATTTTTTTTAATTCTCTTTACTATTAGTGTGGGACGCATGGGTGTGTGCCACAGCATGTGGATGCCGGTCAGAGAAGAACTTATGAGAGTCAGTGCGTGTGTCTTTGGTGTGTGTATCTAATGAAACAGGGTTCACTCTGTACTTCAGACGGGTCTGGAGCGCACTCCTGAATCGGGGGCTGGGTTCCCATGCATGACAATCCCTCTTCCTTAACTTCTGGAGTCCTGAGATGACAGGTATGAACCACTATGCCCAGTGTCGGTCAGGATTCACTGCTCTGTCGGGACAGGGCCTCAGCCTGTTGCCTAGGCTGTCCTGGAATTCACCCCAATCCTCCTTCCCACCACCGAGTGCTGGGATTACATGCTAGACGCCTACTAAAACATTTTATTTATTTACTTTTTGGGTTTTTGAGGCAAGGTCTCTTTATATAATCCTGGCTGTCTTGGAGCTCGATGTGTAGACCAGGCTGGCCTCAAACTCAGAGATCCTCCTGCCTTTGCCTCCTGAGTGCTGGGATTAAAAGCATGCACTACCACACCAGGGCCCTCCTCAAACATTTGAAAAACACAGAAGCAGGAGCTAGAGAAATGTATCAGTGGTAAGGAGCATGGCTGTTCTTGAAGATGACCAGGGCTCAGTTCTTAGCAACCCACATGATAGCTCGAAAACATCCGTATTTATTTAGTTCCAAGAGACCAGATGCCCTTTTTTGACCTCTGCTGGCACCAGGCAAGTATGTGGTACACATACATACATTTAGGCAAAACGTTTACACATAAAATAAAGATTAAATCTAAAAAAAATACAGAAATGCCAGGCAGTGGTGTGGCTCTCCTTTAGCACTCAGGAGGCAGAGGCAGGCGTATCTCAGTGAATTTGAGGCCAGCCTGGTCTACAGAGTGAGTTCCAGGACAGCCAGGGCCACACAGAGAAACTTGTCTCGACAGGCAAAACAAAATACAGAAACGTGCACAATTTTGGTGGCACACGCCTATAATTCCAGCACTCAGGAGGCAGAGGCAGGCGGATCTCTGTGAGTTTGAGACCAGCCTGGTCTACATAGAGAGTTTCAGGACTGCCAGGGCTACAGTCTCAACTCCCCCCCACCCCCCCACCTCCAAATAATAAATCCCACTGATTTAGCTCGGTGGTAGAGTGCTTGCCTAGCAAGTGCAAGGCCCTGGGTTCGGTCCTCAGCTCTGAAAGAAAATCTGTATCTATATCTATCTATCTATCTATCTATCTATCTATCTATCTATCTATCTATCTATCTATCTATCTATCTATCTAATCTATCTATCTATCTATGTATGTATGTATCTATCTATCTATCTATCTATCTATTTCTAAAGTTAACTTAAAAAAAACAACAACATTCAAGCAAAAATAATAAGGTATCCTCCGTTCGCCCCTAGAGTCCTGCCTGAAACCAGCAGGTGCAGACAGCTCTAGGGTCCCGCAACTTTCAAGTCTAAGCATGCGCAACAGACTTTGTCCGGAGAGACCTCTCCTGGGCTCGTAGCAGAAGAATTGACGCATGCGTACCGGGCCAAACTCGGACTGGCCCTGTGACACGCCCGCCCTCCCTACGATGATTGGTCATCGCACATGAGTGACAGAAGAAATTTCGCATAGCTCTCCACAAAATGGCCGCTCATCCCGACACGCCCTCTCCCTTCGCTGATTGAGTCCTGCAGAAGACGGACGTAGGGACTATCCAATGAGACCTCGCGCTCAGGGAAGGGGGCGGGGCCAGGGAGAGACGAATTTGCGCGGGTTCGGCCCGGCGCGGGCAGTCATGGCGGCTTTCCGTGACATGGAGGAGGTGAGCTACTGGCTGCTGAGCCTGCTGGCGGCCAACCGCGCCGAGGCGCAGCAGCGGCAGCTGCTCGGGCGCTACGAGCAGATGGTGGAGCGGCTGCTGGAGACGCAGGACGGCGCCGACCAGCGGCTTCGGGGTGAGGGCGGGGCCCTGCGCTCCAGCCCCGGGGGACCTCGGTGGGAGCTGGCATCCTGGGCCTCAGTTTCCCCATCTGACAATAGCCATCGCCCAGAGTCTTCGAGATGAGTGTCAGGGGTCACAGTGCCGGACTCTACATGAACTCTGCGTGACTCGGTCTTACCCTGTAGCTCAGGCTGCCCTGGAAGTCATTATGGTCCCTTTGCTCTCCACTCAAGGGTCTTCCTAGTGAGAGCCCCAGTTTCTCCACTTGTGAAACGGGTTTCATGACAGTGGATGTCACCTGGGGACTTCGAAGTAAGTAGAGGAGTTGGCAGGGCCTGACCCCTATGAGCTTTCCAAGACTCGGTCTGAAATGCAGCTCAGGCTAGTTTAGAACTCTGTAGCTGAGGATGGCTGAAGCTCAAACAGTCCTGCCTGTCAGCTCTCCAATGCTGTGGTCACAGGTGTGAGCTACCTCCCATCTCTCAGTGACCTCCACTGTTGAAGGCTGGGAACCTTTTAAAATGTCCACACCTTCCCTCTAGGTTGTTATGATGGGAGCCTGCTGTGAGCTGGGCAACCTGTAGCATCCATGAGGCTGGATGGCTTGGACAAATAATCTTAGAATTTGAGAGACCGGAGCAGGAGGTTTGCTGAGAATTCAAAGCCAACCTCAGTTAAGTAGTTTGTGGCCAGTATTGGCTTACAGAGAAACCCTATGTCAGTCCCATCCAGGCCCCTCCCCCCCAAAAGTTTGTTTCATAATGTAGCTAGATAGTAGAGTGATTGCCTAGCATGTGTGTGGCCCCAGATTTAAACCCAATACACAAAATAATTAAAATTAAGTGGTTTGATGGCCATACACTGTGACCTGCTTCTGTAGAGCAACTTGGATAAGACAGAATTCCTTGAGCCCAGGAGTTTGTGGGCAACCTGGACATCATAGTGAGACCCTTGACCCATCACTCAACACCCACGGAAAAGGAGGGTGGCATTATAACAGAAGACATTGAGGGAGCTGCACACCAACACTCCAAGCATTTGGGGTAGAGGCAGCCTGACTACATGAGACCACCCTTCAAACAAAGGATAGAAAGTGTTGGTTCAGTGGGTACAGTGCTTGCCTAACACAGAAAGGCCCACCTTCCATCTCCAGCACCACACAAAATGGGCATAGTGGACAACTTGGGGACGTCCCCTCTGTCCCTCCACCAAGGGGGTCCTGGGATAGGACTCAGCTGGCATCAGGCTTGTTGGCATTCCACTGGGCTGGTTCTTATGTTTGTGTTTGTTTTGGCACAGTCTCTGAGTTCAACCCAAGCCAATGTAGACCTCTGCATCCTCCTGCCTCTGCCTCCTGATTACAGGTGGACACTGCCATTCTCAGTACTGAGCGTGTTCTGGCAAAACAGGGGCACGCCCAGACTCTGGGAGGTGCTCCGCAGCTGCTGGGGGGCGGTCTGACTGGCAGTGGCCCCCAGCCCTTCAGAGCCCTCCTATGCAAAGGACACCCAAGGGCACCTGCTTCTTGTCTCCTTGCAGAGACCCTGGCTGTGGAGGAGGAAGTGGCCCAAAGCCTTCTCGAATTGAAGGAATGCACAACCCTGGGAGGCACCGAGCTCCAGCAGCTGGAAGTCGAGCTCCAGAAGGCCAGCAAGGAGGATGTGTGTCTGCAGGCCAGGCTCTGATATCCTTAACTGTACCCGCAGCCCCCCTCCCTCCCTCAGAGTGTACTTGGATTGGGTTAGGATGCAGCTCTGTGCTGGAGCTTCTGCCAGAGTCCCCCGGTGAGGGCTGGTGGAGTCTGCCTCACATGTCAACTCTTGGCTCTATTCCTGAAGGACAAAAGTAGGAAGGAAATGCTTGAGCACCGTGTGCTCTGGCTTGGTGTGTGGCGCGGTGATTGTCCTTAGTTCCCCCGAGCCTGGACCTTAACTGACCTGCACTCAGCTCACCACAGAGCTTCGGGAGCTCCGGGAGATGGAGGCGGATCTCCAGCAACAGGAGAGAGAAGTGGACGAGGACACCACCATCACCATCCCATCCGCAGTGTAGGTTCTGCAGGCCGGGCCTGGAGCCCCGCCCTGTGGCATGGTCGGAATCAGTGCTGTGGTAACTGTCTCTCTCTCCCTCGTTCTGTCTAGGTACGTGGCTCAGCTCTACCACCGAATTAGTAAAATAGAATGGGATTACGAATGTGAGCCAGGCACCATCAAAGGCAGTATCCTTTGAGAAATCACTGTAGGGCAGGAATGAAGCAGCAGCGGGGAAACTGGTACATCCTCATGTGTTAGAAACAGTCAGCGGGCATGGTGGCGCCCTCGGGAGGCAGAGGCAGGCCGATCTAGCTGGAGTTCCAGGACAGCCAGGGCTACACACAGAAACCCTGTCTCAAACAACAACAACCGTAAACACAGGCTCCAGCAAGGGCATTTCTGGTGATAGGCTCCAGAGTTGAAAATGAACTCTTGAAGAGACAGTTAAGCGTTCATAGGGCATTATTCTCCGCATACAAATGTAGAAGCGACCTGTGTCTCAACAGGTAAAAGGGTAAAGAAATTGCAGTTTATCTGTGCACTAAGATAATATTTAGCTTTGGGGCTGGAAAGGTGGCTCAGTGGTTAAGAGCACTGGATGCTCTTCTAGAGGACCCTGGTTCAATTCCCAGCACCCACATGGCAGTGCACAACTGTAACTCCAGTTCAGAGGACATATAGGTATAAATGCAGGCAAAACACCAATATGCATAAAATTTTTTTAAAAATCATTGAGAGAATCGTTTTAGCTTTTAAAAGATGAGGGGGTGCGTTATACAGAAGATACAGTGTGATAAAATGCTTGCTTAGCATATGGGTTCCACCCCAGTAGTGGGGTGACCTGGAATTTACTGTCTACTCCAGATTGGCTGCAAGTCTGTGGTGAACCTTCCAATTCTACCTCTCAAGTGTGGGGATTGTATGTGTATGCCTTCACACCCAACAAAAATACCATTCTTAAAAAGGAATTAGGGAAAGCTACGCGGTGGCGGTGGTGGCACACGCCTTTAATCCCAGTACTCTGGAGGCAGAGCCAGGTGGATCTCTGTGAGTTCAAGGCCAGCCTGGTCCACAGAGTGAGTTCCAGGACAGCCAGAGCTAAATAGAGAAACCCTGTCTCAAAAAAGAAAAAAGTTAGGGAGCTGACAGGATGGATCAGTGAGTAGGGGCACCTGCCACCAAGTCTGATGACCTGAATTCAATCCCTGGGACCCGCTGATGGAAGGACACCAACTAAGAGCTGTCCTCTGACCTCAACAGATGCACTGTGGCGTGTTTGCACGCACACACCCACAGAAACAAATAAACATGAAAAGAAACTAGTCTGCTGTAGAGTCACACACCTGTAACCCCAGCACTTGAGAAACTGAGGTAGGAGGAATTGCCACAGGTTCAGGGTCAGCCTGGACTAAGGGAGAGCCGTCGCACAACAGAGTGGGAGCAGGCTGCTCTCCCTGGACCTGGGAGGACCACATACCTTTCCTTTCATTGTCCCCTCAGTCCACCACGGCCCCACGGTGGCCCTGCCTATCCACCTGAACAGAGCGCAGCTCTCACAGAAGTTTGTCAGCGACTACCTCTGGAGCCTGGTGGACACGGAGTGGTAGCCAGAGCCTTGACCTCACGCCTTGCACAGAATTGGGGTTGACGGGGCCCAGAGGGGGATCACTCTAAATATAAAAATCTATATGTAATGACTTCATGTATTTATATACTTGTTTTAAGACATTGTCTCGGCCGGGCGGTGGTGGCGCACGCCTTTAATCCCAGCACTCGGGAGGCAGAGCCAGGCGGATCTCTGTGAGTTCAAGGCCAGCCTGGGCTACCAAGTGAGTCCCAGGAAAGGCGCAAAGCTGCACAGAGAAACCCTGTCTCGAAAAACCAAAAAAAAAAAAAAAAAAAAAAAAAGACAGTGTCTCATGGATCCCAGGCTGGCCTGGAACTTCTTTTAAAACAACATTTTTAAAAATCATTATTTTTACTGAATGAATGTTTTGCCTGCATGTGTGTGTGTTTGTTAGCCATGTGTTTGGGTGGAGTCAGAAGAAAACATGGATCCCCTGAAACGGGAGTTATAAGTGGCTGTGAGCTGCCATGTGTCCTGGGAATCGAACCTGGGTCCTCTGGAAGAGTAGCCCACACTCGCCCTTTCTGAGCCCCTCCCACCTTTGAGGCAGGGTTTGAACTCCCAAGGATTCGCCATCTCTGCCTCCCCGGGACCGAGTTTCCATGCAGCTGCCACACTAGCCATTTCATCCGAGTTTTCGGGGTTCACATCAAGGCCTCGTGCTTCCTCACTCTGCTAGCAGCCGCCTCAGCCCCCCCTCCCCCTTATTTTTAGGAGGTCCTGACTCCAGGCCAAGCCCATCACTTGAAGATTCTAGACTTGTGCTCACGTCCTGAAGCGCACACACAGGGCCAGGGCGCCACCCACCCCGGCCTAGTGGCATCCGGGTAATGTTTTAGGGTTTGGGGACACTACCGCACCCTCAGCATCATCACTTACCTCCACTCACTGGATCTCAGTAGCACCCAGACAACAGGAAGTGGCCTTGGCTCAGTGTCCCCGGGAAGGCTCGCAGGTCTGCGGACTAACAGGCCTGCTTTGCTGGCTGAGTCACCACTGGGAACTTGTCTCTCCATGCCAGTGTGAGGCAGGCTACGGAGAGAACTCGCCCAGCCTGGGCTTCCTCCTCTGCTTGTACATGCTGACCTGCAGGTCCTGGTGCTTAGGGGAGAAGGTAGCCATGGGGTTCAAGACTTGCCAAATAGCCAAGCTAGGGAGATGGTTCGTAGGTAAAGATGCTTGCCACCAGGTCTGATGGCCTGAGTTCAAACCCCTGGAGCCCATGTTTGCCTCCACCTCAACAGTTAAGGGCACTAGCTGCTCTCCCAGAGGACCTGGGTTCAATTCTCTGCACCTACAGGGCAGCTCACACCTGTAACTCCAGTTCAGGGAATTGGGTGCCTTCTGACTTCCTCAGGCAGTAGGCGCACAGTGCAGACATACATGCAAGGAAAACACCCATAAAGTGCATGTCTTTTTAAGAAAGAGAGAATAAGAAGACAGAACAGGGTGACAGTAACCACAGATGAGGTTGGCCCTGGCCCCTGTGGAAAGGAACTCCCTTACTTTACACTGGAAGGCCAAGTGGCTGCTCTCGAACCTCTAACCCTCTGGTACAGGAGGATCTATACTCATCTCACCCCCTTCACTGGAGGCTCACCAGGGAGTGTGACCCAGGGCCCTGGAGAGGCCCCAGCTCTACATGCCTGGACTCTGAGTCACTGCCCAGCACTGGCTTCCTGCTGAGGACATCCTGGGGCCAGGCTATAGCCTCCTGCCCAAACTCCCACCCACAGCCTGGCTTGTTTCCTTCCAAGAGCCAGCCACTCCAGGGGCCAGCAACTCATTCTCAAGGGCAGCCAGAGGGAGGGGCAACATTGAAGTCACCACAAATGGCCCCAGTGCCATCTTGAGTCCAATTTACAGATGAGAGAAACTGAGGCACAGTTCCATCTGGCCATTTCCCTCAAGTCCTAGGACATTATATGAAGGCTCCCAGGGGACACATAGTGTCTTCCTCGGAGCTATCATCAGGGTGAGGGGTTTGTCAGGACAATGGGGAAGGCACCCAGTGGGGGTGACCAATCTCTTTCTGTAGTCTTTGTACCCTCCCCATGGATCTAGGGTCCGCTGTGGTCAGAGCTGTCTCCACTAGGCAGGTTCATTAAGCAGGAAAGGTGCATAGATGTGGGAAGTAAGCATGAGGTTAGATTTGAACCCAGAGCAGTCAAACTTGAAGGATCTATCTCCTCAGGACTCGAGGTGCGCTGGTGTCGGGGACAGAGGACCCGCTGTGGGTTATGGATGTGACCTCACGTGGGGACTGAAGCCTACAGGTGACTCACCTCCACCTGTCACCTGCCTTGTTGGGGCTCGTCTACTCTCCCCTTGGCTTCAGGACCTCCCTTCAGAGCCCTTTTTACTGTGTGTCTGCGTGGGAAGACAGTATGTGGGGAGGGGTGCAGCCAAAGAATGCATGTGTGCATGTGGAGGTAGGGGGTCAGTCTCCCACCTTTACAAGGAGTCCAGGGATCAACCTCAGATCACCAGGCTTGCGTCACTCAGTACCAGCTGAGTCATTGCTCTTGAGGTACTGGGGGTGGACTGTAGGGCTTCACACATGATGGGCATGCTTTGTACCACTGAGCCGTGGTCCAGCCCAGGCCCTGTCGCCTGAATGTCCAGCCTGGTGGGTCTGCAGCAGCTGAACTTTCTTAAAATACCGTTCTGTGGCTGGAGCCAGTGACGCCAGCGCACCTGGCTGCAGCTGTCTGGGACGTGAGACTAAACCCTGGCTGGTCCCCGGCAGGGCAGCGGGGTTTGTCTCAGGTTTCCCACCCCCTGGTGGCGGTGGCTGGGGTGGGGCACAAGACTCCTAATCCAGCTAGGAATGAGGTCCTCACACCTGGGGATAGTGAATGGACGGGTAAAATGCTTTCTGAAGTAGGGTTCTGAAGGGCCTCGGAGGGAGCTTCCCCTGATCACAGGGGTCAAGGGTGGGAGGGTAGGGATTAGAGGTGAAGGCAGGCTAACAAAGGTGTGTGTGTGCAGCTCGGCTGGGAGATACAAGCGAACGCCACCTCAGAGGCCCCTTGATCAAGCCTGGCCTGCAGGCCACGGTGTGGGGGGAAGATTTTCCAGATTCCCAGTGGCTTGTGCCGAGTAAAGGACTGATTAAGCCCCCAATTTTTTCCCACACCTTCCCCAAGGCAGCCAGGCCAAAGGGAGGGTCAGGAGAGGAGGGAGGGAGTTCCTCCTCCAGGGCAGGAAGCAGTTGTCAGGAGTGTCAGACAAGACACAGAAGTCTTAGGAAACTTTCCCCAGGCAGGCTAAGTGGGGATGATGTGGCCAGAGAATTTCATCTGAGAAAACCACAGTGGGAGATGGAGTATTCCCGGAGTTGGGGAAATGCTGGCTACAGAAAAGGCACCCCCTCCCACTGCCTCCCCCTGCAGGCTTGGGCTCCCTCAGTCTTGGGCTCCAGGCTGGCTCACCACAGACAGCTGTGGTTTGAGATACTGTGAGTTGGAAGGAATGCCAGTCTAGGGCTGGTGATTGGCGGGGAACAGCAGTTGGTGTGCAAGACTGGCCTATGGCTGGCATCTGTCTTGTCCTGGGCAGAACTGAGTCCACAGAGATGTGGCAGGCAAGACCACCACCACTTGCCCACCCTGGGTCAAATAGCTGCTGTACATATTGGGGTACACATCCAGGTCTGAACCCAGAGAACTCCAGGCAGAGAAGACAGGAAACCGGATCAGGGAACCCAAGAACCTCCCATTCCCCTTGTTAGGTAGGCACTCTACCACTGAGTTAGACACCAGCCCTTCAGTGCATGCTGGGAGTCATGGACCCAGGGCTGGCCGCAAGCAAACTTACTATGTGTGGAGGATGACCTTGAACTCCTAATCTTCCTGCCTCCACTTCCCAAATGAGAAGATGGCAGGTGCAGGTGATCACACCTGGCCTTGCAGGGCCTTGAACAGAAAAAAGCTGGAGCCAAGGATTTGAAAGTCCATCACCAAAGGGCACAGAGGCGCACGCCTTTAATTCCAGCACTTGCGAGGCAGAGGCAAGTGGATCTCTCTGAGTTCCAAGGCCTGCCTGGTCTACAGAGTGAGTTCTAGGACAACCAGGGCTGCACAGAGAAACCCTGCCTAGGCCACTGGAGGAGGTGAGGGGGTGGGGGAGTGAGTCCACCACCTTCCATGTGCAGGGCCCCATGGCAGCCCAGTCTTGCTCTACAGTTTACATCCTGTTTGCACACAAGTGAGCATCATTTGACTCAGTAGAGCGGTCCTTGACAGCCTGCGCGCGCAGTTAGAGGCTTCTCGGGCTACTGCTCTGTTTTCTCACCCAGAGATGGTTTGGCTCTTTCCCAAAACAAAAGGCGGAAGGAAGAACGGACGGACGTGCCACCCTGTGGATGCAGAGGGGATGACAGGCCTGTGCGGAGCTCCCACCACAACCTGGCAGGAGCTGGGATTACCGGGGAAGCTGAGGGTCTAGGGTGCACAAGGTCACAAGGAAAGTTACAGCAGCACCAGGATCTGAGCCCAGGCCGCTTATCTAGTGTGTCCCCCATTGCTGCTTCATCTCCCAGACTCTTTCCCCAAGTTTGTCTTACTGGGCTCAACCCTGGGATGCCAGTGTGGGAGACAGGTAGAATTCTTTTCCTCCTCCATCCGCCCTTGCAAGGTTTCCTAAAGGTGTTTCCTTTTAGCAGCTCATTCCTGCCACCAGCTTCCTCAATAACCCTCAGCCCCCATGGCTCTCCACCAGCCCCATGGCGCCTCCCTCTCCCTCCCTGCCCCTAGCTCCTGGACTCTATCCTAGAGACAGGCCTTCAGGTGGCATCCTGGCTCCCATTTTTTTTCTTTCTTTTTTCTTTTTTTTTTGGTTTTTCAAGACAGGGTTTCTCTGTGTAGCTTTGCACCTGTCCTGGAACTCACTTGGTAGCCCAGGCTGGTCTCGAACTCACAGAGATCCGCCTGGCTCTGCCTCCCGAGTGCTGGGATTAAAGCGTGCGCCACCACCACCCGGCCCCATTTTTTCTTTAAAAGGTAGAGGCAGAGACAGGGACCTTTGTGAGTTCCAGAGTTCACTGGTGAGGAGCCCACAGTCCTGTAAACAGCCCCTCACCCACACTCTGTAAGCAACCCCGAAAATTCACTGGATTACCAGAAAAGAAAAAAAGGCAGGAAAGTAGAAGGGGAGGAGGAGGGGCGGGCCGGCAGGGGTGGGGGATGGGAGGAATATTATCAAATACATATGTGTGTGATGAAAATACCAAAATACAGATAAAGACAGCAAGATTT